CGACCCTCCGATTTTCGAATAGTAGACGAACTCTCGAGATTTTATCGAGGCGGAGACGTTCGATCGGGCGGAAGGAACCGGAGATTGTCACGCAAATGAATTTGAAGTATTGCCATTTTACATTTCCACCTGTCCCTCTCTCTCTCTCTCTCCCCTCCACCACGTTCTTTCTTCAATTTTCCATTATCTTACCTTTCGTTTCGCCATCGCTCGTTCACCATCTTCTCCATAAACGATCACCTCCTCCCAATCTCTTTCTCAAACCAAACACGCATCCTCTCCCTTGCACTGTCATTTGTTTCTCGTTCCCTTTCTTTTTATCAAATCCCCTATCTTCGCCCCTTCTACCAACCAAACCAGGTGTATCCCCTTCTCGCCCATTTCTCTTCCGTTCTCGCCCATCATTTCACCCCCACCCTCCCCCCAAACGTTTCCCCAACGTTTTCCTCGCTCGTTTTCGCCGCCTCGTACAGGTGCGCCACCCCTCTCGTTGCACACCCTCGTGTCGCTTGCCCTCCCCCACGATCGATGCACCTGGCCGCATTTGCAAGTTCAGCGGCTGAACGGAATCGGTGGAGACGACAAATCGAATGGAAATCGGAAATCGCAATAAGAAAAGGACAAAAGTAACGATTCTTAGGGAGGGGAGGGCGGATAGACCATTTTGTTTTGCTGCCTTATCGAAGTGACGGCTCGTATTCGGTTTGCCAACGAGCAGCGGAAATATGGATCGCGTCGACCTTCTTCTTTCATCTTTCTTTCTTTTCTTTTTTTTTTTTCATTATTTCTTTTTATTTTTGAAAGACAGAGAAGGAATATCGGGTGACCGAGTTTGAAAATAAAATCGCGCGAAATAGATATTTGGCGTGAAAAGATATGAAATCGAGGGAATTGAGAATCGTTTCTTTGATTCGATTAATGAAGAGGATAAAAAGCGTGAACTGCGTGAAAGTGAAATTTTTTAGCCTTTTTAATTTGCATATTTTGTTCAATCGTTTAACAACGTTATTTAATTTCTAATTTCGATAATTTCTTGTCGATAAAATTTAATATAGGGATATTTGTAAATTTTTAACAAATATACCAAAGGACAATCGGATTAAAAAATATCTGTAAGAATTTTAAATTTAATTATGAAAGATTACGTACTGCTTTCCTTCGTTTCGATTAACTTTTATTTCTATATTATCGTTATTCTAGAAATTAAAAAAATTTTCTATATATATATTTCTTATCTTCGATAACATTTCAACCCATCAAATCATTTCCAAACTAATTATCGAAAAAAGAAAGTTCGAATTTCTCGGCACTTGTACGTAATAATAACGGAAACAAGAATGACGTTCAAGCGTCCTCGAGAAATCAATTTATAAGCGGTTACCATCTTCGTGGCGGTCTTGCCTCTGCCTTGAAATAACTCGATTCATTTCAGACTTGCGTATTAAAACTTCTTTCGATTCTACGGAGTACAATAATATTATCAGTTAAGTCACCTTCCTGTCCACGCAGAAAATTTCCAGTAAAAGATTTCGAAGGATAAAGGAGATAGTTCTTCTAGAGAGAGAACGATTGGAAGAATCGTTTTTAAATTATTGAGAAAGATATTTTTCTTCTAGATCTTAGATGTCTTTTCTATCTCTTGATCTGTTTGCTTATAAGGATTGATAAAAGATAAGACCAAACCTATATATCATAATTTTATAAAGTTATTCCAACATTCGATACAACATTTTTCTTATGCATTACAAATCGTCAAAACGAGAATTTTTTTAGAATCTATTCGAAACAAACTATCCTTAAACATCGTTTTTCTTTTACTCTGGAAAATTCTCAACCTATTCGATTTATTCGTATCGCTGTTTTCTTTTTCCTCGGAAGAAAACTGATGCTTTCCATCGTTTTATTTCAGTTTCATAAATACATATATCGAAAATTCAAATCTTTCTTCGTAACTATAGCAATATATATATATTGTAGCTTTTGCTAAGCAATTTCATTTGCAAATATCTAATAAAACTATATACGTTAGAGCAATAATTATACATCGATTATAATCAGTAGATAGATTTTCAAACCTTCTACTTCTTTTTTAAATAAATCACCAATTGATTTTAATTTTCTAATCCACACTGTCCAAAAATTCTCTCCAATACTTCAAATCAAATACATTCGCTAGTCTCGTTACTCATTGCCGAATATCCAAATACATTCTTCCTTATTTCAATTATTCTCCCTCCTTTTGCATAAAACGTACGAAAATATAAATCATCCTTAGACAAATTCTAGCCGCAAAATCGTCGTCACGCTTCGTCGCGACAAGGAGAGAAGGTAGCTAACTTCTCGAAACACCTCGAACGGTGGCCGAGCAATCGTTCCAACACCCAACCACATAAATATTATATTCCCCGATAAT